ATTGACATCCCTTTAGCACAGTGGTTCTCAACCTTCCTAATGCCATGACCCTTTAATATGGTTCCTCAGGTTGTGGGGACTCCCAACCATAAAATTATCTTTGTTGCTACTTCATAACTGTAATTTTGCTACTGTTATAAATCGTAATGTAAATATCTGATATGCAGGATGTGTTTTCATTGATCATGACCCACAGGTTGAGAACCGCTGCTTTAGGAGAATGTGAGAGTTCCCCATCTTCACCAGCACTTAACATTACCACTCTTTTCAGCTAGTATTGTGATGTTACAGTGATATTTCACTGTGGTTTTAATTTGCATTTTCCTCATAGCTAATGCTGGTGAGCATCTTTTCACATGCTAATTTGTCATTTGAATATCTTCTTCCCTAAAGTGCCTATTCAAACCTTTTGCCCATATCCTTAAAATGATTTGCTGTTGAAAACATTTATACGAGTTTTAAAAGTGTAAACTGCATATAAATCCTTGTTGTATATATATAATGCAAATATTTCTCCTAGTTTGCTATTGGATGCTTTTTAACAAGCTGGCTGAGAGTCCAGTGTGTAGAACTTGCACCATGGGCCCTTCTTGGCTCTCAAGAAAGTGGGCATTTGAAGATGGGAAAAGAGGAGACACCTGGATCTTATCCTCTTAAAATCACAACTTTATTGAAGCAGGACTCCTTAAGAATGGCTCATGCACTTGAGAAGTCTATTTGGCTACTCTCTGTAAGCTGAAGAGAGTCATCAATATGTTGCTCCATCGCACATAATGATATAGTGCTTGATGAACATTTGAATACCCACTACGGGCCTGCTCTGTGCAGGATGCTGGCGGCACACAGACAGGGGTGCCAGCACCCTTACATATGGTGTGCTTTCAGGGCACTCTTGGGGTACTTTTGGGTCTAGTGTCCTGTTTGATCATATGAGGGTAGGGTGGCCATCAGACTAGTAAAATAAAAATAACGTATTCTTCTGCTCCTCAACCTTTGATTCTCTATAGTCATTGCCCTAATTGTGTAATCTATAATTCTAAGATAAGCCTTTGTCTCATCCTAATTAGCCCCACTAATTAATACCTAGAGAAATTCTCTAATTAAATAAGACATGCAGAAGTGACTTATGTTTTTAAGGAAGGCACAAGGAGAAAAGACCATAAAATAGATATACTTAGCTCCCTGCTATCTAATAATTCTTTTAATAACTCCTCAAATGATAGCTATCGGGCAATTAAAGTCATATCTATTGAGGGCAAGACTGGCAAGGTACTGTATTATCTTAGACCTTGAAGGAACCATAAAGACTTGCAAGAGACAATGCCGACCCTCAAAGAAATTGAGCATTTTGCTGGTGGTGATAGCATCTGAGTGTGAAGGGAAAGTGTCAAGGAGGTACACAACATAGTCAGTGAAGTTAGAGACCTGTACCAACTAATAGGAAGCTTAGCTGCAGGAAGGATCCTGTTGGATTGATTGCAGTTATGTGGAGAGGATTGTGTTTGTTAAGATAGTATAGCTGCTGCTATAAACTAGCCCCAAGATGTGTATCGGCTCAAACACAGAAAAAGGTTACTTCTCAATCATCAAAAGTTAAAAACAGGTGTTCCTGATGGGTAGCTGCATCTGCTTGAAATGGTGATTCTGAGAGCCATTCTTCAACATACGGATTTTCACCATATATTGGGATTATTCACCTCAAACTGGTAGAAGGAGAAAGAACATGGAAAATGGGAAGTTTTTATAGCCAGACCTGTCAATAGGAGTTCCACAGGCTAGAACTCAGTCATACGGCCCCCGATAATGGGAGAGGACTTTGAGAAGTGTAGTCCAGCTGTGTGTCCAAGAGAATGAGATGTGTTTGTTGACCTCCTAGTAGTTTTTGCTACGGGCTTGAATGTCTTGTTGGCTCCAATATCCAGGTGCTGCCAATGGGATAGTAGTGAGAGGCAGGGCCTTTAAGAAGTGATTAGGCAGAAGAGCTTCTTTAGCCTTACTGGGATTAAGACTTTTATAAAGGAGGCTTTGCCCAGCATTTGGCTAGTTTGCCCTCTGCCTTTGCCATGTGAAGATGTAGCACGAAGGCCCTTAATGGACCAATTGCCACTGCCTTGGTCTTGGATTGTCCAGCCCCTAAAACTGTGAGAAATCAATTTCTATTCTTTATAAGTTCCCCAGTCACAAGCGTCTCGTAGTAGCACAAAATGAACAGGCTTTCTGATAGCAGGCAGTTTGGATTATTTTGATGGAGATTGGAAAGAAGGATTAATCCTGGTAAAATGAACAGCATAAGGAAGGCCTAAGAAATATACAAAAATAACATCAAAAATAGCGAATAATTTAGTTTGTTAGAAGCATAGAATACGGAAGAAACTATTAGATAGCTATGTTGAGACTATTTCCAACCTGAAGTCACATTTTTGGAGGTTTTAAAACCTGTAGACTGAGGAGCTTATATCCAGCATGTCCTTTCCATATGACTTCTTACCCGGGCTCATTCCGACTTGGAGGAAAACTGTGGCCCAGATTAGTTTTCTTTCCTCCCTTCATCCTCTGGCCTTTCCTAGGAAGTGAGCTCTCATTTTTCTCCAGCACGCAGTGTCAGCCAGATGGGTTCAGACCCTTAGCACGGGCAGCTTCATGTCGAGCCTTTGTACTAGAGGATTTCAGAGATTCCAGGGGCCTCCTGCCAAAAACCAGTCTAATGCATGGTATCTGCTGAATACTGTGTTTGGGATGAATCCCAAATTTAGGAGGGGGATGGGAGGGGGAATTCCTTTTGGACCCTAGGACATAATCAACAAGTGTTCAGGATCCTGGAATCTGATCACCCATTTTGTTATCTTGGCTCACATAGCTGCAACTGTGGCTTGTAGTTATAAAAGTATCCGGTCCTTTCAAATCCAGCAGCAGCCTTCAACTTGATGACCTCCTGACAGTGATTAATTGGGAAGGGTGGGAGCTGGGGAAATCCTTTCCCCTCCCTTCAGGCCCGGAAGTTGGCTTTGAACTTGGAGGAATGTTTTGGTCAGGGAATATATGTCCCCACACCCTTGACCTCTCTCTCACCTTCACCTCTGCCCCACATTGCACATCCTATTTGCTGTTCATATACATCTTTGCTAAATCAACTTTGACCGGGGCTTTACTATGTGCTGTCTCTGGAAGGCTTCTGTGTAATTTATTCCTCCTCCTTTGAGCTTCTGACCATGAAATTAATGGCTCTGAAAATTTACCTTTGCTCTACAGTTTTGAGTTCTTTCATTGTCCCTACCAAGACGTAAGCATGGTTGTATATCTCTTGACAAAGAGAGAAGACAGAGTGTTTGAAGTAATAGCCAACCTCCTGCCAGGTGTTTCTTTCCTAAACAAACTTGAAAGAGACTTAGCACACAATTTTCTAATCCTTAGAACATTCGTTATTTTTAGGATTTGTGGAGAGGGAGATGTTCACTTTCGATAGGAAAGGTTACTAGATACTTTTTCTTTAGCTGGCCACAAAACAAATCTAAAGGAGTCATTACCACGTTGTTTCTTTTATCCTGTGCACATCTTTCTTTCTCTTCTTTCTTTTTTTTGGGGGGGGGGAGACAGAGTCTTACTTTATTGCCCCCCCCCCTTTTTTTTTTGAGACAGAGCCTCAAGCTGTCCCCCTGGGCAGAGTGCCGTGGCATTACAGCTCACAGCAACCTCCAACTCCTGGGCTTAAGCGAGTCTCCTGCCTCCGCCTCCCACGTAGCTGGGACCACAGGCGCCCACCACAACGCCCGGCTATTTTTTGGTTGCAGCCGTCATTGTTGTTTGGCGGGTCCAGGCTGGGGATTTGAACCCGCCACCTTAGGTGTATGTGGCTGGCGCCTTAGCCGGCTGAGCTATAGGCGCCGAGCCACTTTATTGCCCTTGATAGAGTGCTGTGGTGTCACAGCTCACAGCAACCTCCACTTCTTGGGCTTAGGTGATTCTCTTGTCTCAGCCTCCCGAGTAGCTGGAACTACAGGTGCCTGCCACAATGCTGGGCTATTTTGGGTTGCAGTTTGACCGGGGCCGGGTTTGAACCTGCCACCCTCAGTATATGGGGCCGGCACCCTACTTACTGAGCCACAGGTGCCACCCCTTTCTCTTCTTTCTTCAGATCCTTATTTATCCCTCTCTGTGCTTACAGCTTTCAAAGAACTAAAACTTGATTACGGCAGGCATTTGGTGTCTTTCTCTTTCGGTTTGCATATGCAGCAGGTGAAACTCTTCAAGCCGGTGTCTATGGAACCAGCTCATTCTCTAGCATGCTTTGAGATCTCTGTCCCTCTTGAAACACTATGACATTTGGGAAGGCAGCAGGGTGTAATGGAATGGAATGTGAGCAGAAATTAAGCACACCTGGCTCCAAAGTCCAGCATGGCCTCTTACCTGAGACCCTGAAACAAAATATGTGTTCTCTCTGAGCTTCTGAACTTGAATTTTGACAGCTTCAATTAGTTTGGACTGATTTTGAATTTACCTAATATGTATATATTCCTTTGTTATTGACTTAATTTGCTCAATACACATGTTTACATATTTTAAGATGGGCTGACATCCTGAGAAACCCATTGTAAGTTAAAAATATTGTAAGGTACAAATGCCTTTAATATTGGCAACACAGCGGACGGTCCCTGATCTTTATTGGTTTGAATTATGATTTTTCAGCTGTGTGGTGGTGTGAAAGTGATATGCGTTTAGTAGAATTTGTGAGCAGTACCTCAATTTATAATGAGGTAACATCCAGATCAGCCCATCCTAATGTGGAAAACTTGTAAGTCAAACCATTGTGAGTCAGGGACTGTCTGCGTTGTTTGTGAGATTCATTCAGATTGTTTTGCAGTAGTTTGTCCAGTGGAATTTATGGCATTACATCATGTATCACAAGTTTGTCCATTTGGATTATTTCCCCATTACATATTGTGATCATAATCATGCCTGTAAAATATCATGAATTGACTATTGTCTCAAATTTCATTTTTCAGAGTGGCCAAATCAATGAAGATTCCTGTATATGAGACCCCGGCTGGGTGGAGATTCTTCTCAAATCTGATGGACTCAGGGCGGTGCTCTCTGTGTGGAGAGGAGAGCTTTGGCACTGGTAGGCTTAGAAGGGTTGACACTCCTGGGGAGGGAGGCTGCAGCCTCTGTGACTTCAGTCTGGAGACAGGTGAACTTTCGGCGATTGAAAGGCTAGAGAGGAAGAAATAATGAGAGGCAAAAAATAAAATATTCAAGAAACCCGGTAGAGTGTGTGCTTTGACATACTTACCTCTTTTGCCCAGTTTGCTGCTTCTTCTTTAAAGAATTTTTTCTTAAAAAGTTTTTCTGTTATGGAAATTTCTAAAATTGCATAAGAGTAGAGAGAATAATCCAGGTGTCATGGCAGGCACCTGTAGTCCCAGCTACTCGGGAGGCTGCGGCAAGAGAGTCGCCTAAGCCCAGGAGTTGGAGGTTGCTGTGAGCTGTGTGACACCACGGCACTCTACTGAGGGTGATAAAGTGAGACTCTGTGTCTACAAAAAAATAATAATAATAAAAATAAAATAAAAATAAAAAAGAGTAGAGAGAATATCATATTGAATCCCATGTACCTCTGAAGCAGTTTCAACCATCATCAACTCATGGTCAATCTTCCTTCACCTCTCCCCTCATCCAAAGGACGAACCTCCTTCTTGATTATTATGAAACAACCCGTGTAGCTTATTTTTTTAGCCATAAATATTTCAATGTGCATTTTTACATATAAGGGCCTTTTAGGAAAAATATATAACAGTACCATTATCATACCCAAAATGTTAAAAAATTTTCTTTTTCCAACACCTTAAATGTGTCACCCATTGTCTTCTGGCTTACATAGTTTCTAAGATTTCTGATGTATTTCTTACATTTATTCCTCTGTATGTAAAATATCACACACCTTGTCCCCTTGAATCTCCTACCTGTGGCTTCTTTCATTTTTTTTTTTTTTTAATCTTTGGTTTCATTGTATGTCTATGTGTGAGTGTGTGTTTGACCCTGCTTGGTTTCTCTGGGATTCTTGGGTCTGTTGTTTGTTCATTAATTTCAGAAAACACTCAGTTGTTATCTGTTCAAATATTTTTCCTTCCCCATTTCCTGACTCTTCTTTTTCTGGGAATTGAATGACATATGTGAGATAATTTGTAACCATAAATGGTGCCTCAGAGCTCTGATGTTCATTCTTCTGATGGGTTTCATTTTTTATTTTCTTTTTGTGTTTCAGGTTAGATAATAGCTATTGGAATATATTTAAGTTCACTTAATATGTCCTTTCCTTAGCTCTGTCCAATCTGCTAATGAGCTTGTTGAAGGAATTTTTCTTCTCTGATAGTGTGATTTTTATTTCTAGCATTTATCTTTGACTCTTTTTTTATAGTTTTCATCTCTCTGATGAAATGCCCCATCTGTTTCTGAGTCTTGTTAATCTTTTTCATTAGCCTATTCAACATATTAAATGTGGTTATTTAAAACTCTGTGGGTTCTACTATCTGGTTCATCTCTGACTCTGGTTCTGCTGATTCCTTCATCTTTTGACAGTTGTTTTCTTTTTCTTGCTTTTTGTGGATCTCGTAATTCTTTTTATTGAAAGCTGCACAGTACATGGATAAAAACAGTAGATATTCAGGTAAATAGTATTTATGCCCAGAAATGGCCACATCTTTTCTTTGGAGCCATTAGTGTAGAAGGTTAAGTTCACTAGTCAGGAGTTTAGCTGGATTTGGGTGGTACTGTTTCTGTTATAACCTTCAGTGTACCACAGGCTTCAAAGTCCTCCAGCCGTGGGATATTTTTACCATGTACTGAAACTGGGGATGGAGTGCTAGAGAAGTTTTTTAAGTGTTCTTGTTTCATGCTCAGCTTTCAGCAGTTACTGCATGGCTAGGACACAAGATAGAGCTCTATTACTGGGCTCTGGAGACCCTGCAGTGACAGCGACCTCTGCTTAGTATTGGTGTAGGATTCTGAGCCTGGGAAGATTTCCCACCCTCTCCCCAGGGGCAGGGTTTTTTTTTTTTTTTTTTACTTTTGCCCCTTTCTCAATGGTGATAGATCTTTGCCTGGGCCTCTGGGATGAGACAGTTTCAACCAGTATACCTGGGAGCCTAAAGCTTTCGTGTCATGTGAGAGAGGATCTGGGGACGTGGATGGCTTCATGGCATCTCCTCCCCACCCCCATCACCAAGTCTCCCTATTCCCGATTTCTAGTGGTGGTCTGTGGGAGAGAACATGGAGTCCCTTGTATTTGGGACTCCAAGTGATTTTAAACTAACATGATACACTGTAGTTGCCCTTTAAGAACTTTTTCTCCTTATTTCTATTTGTCCGGCCGCTTCCTCTTTCTCCTGGGCTTTACCAAAGGTCAGATCGTTTTTGTGTCCCGTCTCTTCTTACAGTGGTTGGTCGAGTCTTTGGAATTTACTTTATTGCTTTGTCACCTCAAGATTTCTGAGTTCAAGAAAAGTTGTTATTTTGCAAAAACCTTTTTCATTGTTAGGAGGGGCATGACTTTCTCTTGCACATTGTCATTTCTTAAGCAGAAGTACACAGTGGAGCTTCAAAGTTATTTTTAATAAGTTTCCTTCTCCTCATTCCCTTCTCCTCATGAACAGTTTGTTCTAATGGGCTCCAAAAGATCTTCCATTGTAATTAGTCGGGATGTCTTTTAGGTCTCTTTGAATCAGCACGTCTTTCCTCCACGTTTTACCCTGATTACTCATTCCTTGAAGAAACTGGCTCATGTGTCCTGTAGAGCTTTGACTGGCTCTCCTTACTTTCCTTCCTAATTTGTTTAGTGTTAGAAGAGGAGAAACTTGATTCATAGATGTTGTCTCTGGTTTGCACCCCCCTCAGCACATTCTAATATTAATTATAGTGTTTTCTTTTTCAAAAACTCTACGTTCTCTTGGGGCTATTTCTTTTTGCATACAGTGATATGATCTATGACTAAAAGTTTCCTTGTATGTTTTCTAAAATTTACACTCTTTATTTCCTCTTCTTATTGTATCACTATCTTCTAATACTAAATAGCTCATAATTTTAACAGAAATGGGTTTAGTTTTTTTTTTTTTGCTTCAAAAATATGGAATGCTTCATGAATTTGCATGTCATCCTTGCACAGGGGCCATGCTAATCTTCTCTGTATCGTTCCAATTTTAGTATATGTGCTGCTGAAGGGAGCACGGATTTAGTTTTTGATCATCAATTTTGATCATTGCTTTAGAATATTGGTAAAATCTGTATCATGTTTGTGTAGATGAATATTTCTATTCCCATTTACTTAGAGTCGGATCAGAAAAGACTGCTGGATTTGTCAGGTACCCTGTCAGGATCCAGTGATATACTTGTTTTTTAATTTTGTTATGTGACCATCATAAAATAGCACAATTGAATTTCTTATATCAGATTATTGGGTTTCTGCGGCTAAGACCTACTTGGTCCTGCCTGTGTAAATTGTAGTGAAATCACTATTGACAGTTACAACGTTTCAAGTCATGTTGGGCCATGAAGGAATTTTTTTCCTGGATATTTTCTCCTCTTACCCAAATCAATTAGCCTACTAGCAGCATTAGCATTAACAGACCAAGAAGGACACATCCATCTTTGTTTCCTTGTATAAGAAGAGACCACATCAAACTCTCTCAAGTACTGGTGTCTGAACTCAGAGTGTATACATGGGAGCTCCGCTTGGGACAGCCAAAATTGTCATACCCTTTTTCTGCTGAGGCCATAATAAATACTGATTTCCTTTCTCTTTGGTATTCTGTGTGCTTCAATCAGTGAGCATTATTCAAAAAGGTGGATGTATCGTATATAATAATTCTGCCTACTAGTTAGTAAAATAAAGCAAGTGTAGCACCAGGAGCCTGGTGAGTCCCGGTTAGCTATTCCTCTGTTTCCACAGGGACTTACTGAGTACTAACAACTTAGTGTACACTTAGAGGCTCTTTAATAAAAGGGCTAAATGTTACATGTGTACACTATGTTACACTCTCAGTAATATTTGCCTATTTTGAATTAATAAACATTTATTCAGTTTACAAGGCACTGTATTGGATAGTACATAGAATGCAAAATGCTTAAGGCTGCCCCTTTAAGAACCTCTGAGTTCTTTAGGGGACATAATCAAAAAGATACACAGAGGGCTGGTTTACAGCAGGGAAACTTTAAGGTGCCACAGTGGAGGAGTAGAAAATTTGCTGGGGAAGATGAGAAAGGGAGAAAGGGCTTTGGACTGGGGGTGTAAAACAGACTTCATGAAGGAGATGAAGGTAAGATGGTAGGATTTGTGTACACAGAGATGAAAGGGTGAGGCCTTGCCAGAGGAAGAGAACGATGTCCAGTGAGGAATAGAGGTGGAAGGTCAGGGATGTGTTGTCAAGAGCCAATTGTTCAGATTTTTCCAGAGCAGTGTTTTTCCCCATATGGACCAAGACTCATCTGGGGTCATGAGATTAATACAGGACATAAAGTTCTTGTGCAATTAAAAATAGTTTAACATAGTTAATTGCACATGCACTTTATGTCCACCCTGTATAATATCACAAACAGCTTTAAAAAATATAATAGAAACTCTTGGAGTATATTGCATTCAGTCAAGACATTATTTTGGAAATTTTGTATCTGTGTATAAATACGTACCCCAGCATATATGTAAAGTAGGTCTCAAGACAAAATGTATTTATTGTTGGTCATAGTCAGAGAAGTCTAAAAATTAGTGGTCTACAGCAGGCATCAGCAAATTTCTTTTCATGATGAGCCAAGTAGTAAATATTTTAGACTTTTGGGATCAGAAGGCCACATTTGATCTGTGTCACAATTACTGTATTACTGTACTATGTCACTGTAGCACAAAAACACCTATACAAATACATAAATAGGGTGATTGGAGGGACCACTTCTATGGTTTATCTTACAAGGGTACAAGTGAATCTTTCTAAGAGTAGAATATAAATGTCTTGGCTCAGCGCCTGTGGCTCAAGTGGCTAAGGCGCCAGCCACATACACCTAAGGTGTCGGGTTCAAATCCAGCCCGGGCCCGCCAAACAACAATGATGGCTACTACCAAAAAATAGCTGGGCA